ACCCATTTGATAGTAAATTAGGTCTTCTTTAAATTTTAAACTCAAAGAAAGGGTATACTTCGATTTTAGAAAATTTTCTAATGATGAGGTTTTTTACGATTGTGAGGTGTTCATTCATAATGCATCATATCCGTCAATTTATTAATGCCGCCTTTACTGTATAAAGCATGCTCAACATCTTTTGCAACATTTTATGAGAACTATGTGACTTCTTCCTCAAACTGTAGGCGAAAACGTACTTTTCGTTAAACAGGGCGTACACAGTGCGCAGTTTGTAAACCTTGAATTCTAGTTTAGCAGTCAGTAGGCTTCAAAATTATTCGGCAATTTAGAAACTTTTTAAAACCAAAAGATACCCTGTCTTTGAGTATAGAATTTAAAGAAGGCCTAATTTGCTATCAAATGGATAGAAGTGATATTTTTCCTGCATGTTTTCCTTAAAATATATTTCAATTTAAAAAAGCAGTCAAAATCAATGTTAAAAACGCACACTACTAAAGTAGTTACTTTTTACATAACACACGGTTTGTGAGTGGACAGAACGAAGCTCTTTAAAATGCCCGAATCCTATCACGACTGAAGTAACTTCAGAATAGGCTACACGATAACCAGTATCACAACCTCAGTCAACGCCGATTAGCGAAAGAGTATCAATCTTTCGTATATGTCGGCCTGTTGCATGAATTCTGGCGCCTACTGTAGTTTTCACCTCACGCACTTGCCACCGGTGTAAGGATCTAGGATCTAGGATCAAATGTGATTGCGTTGTTGGGGGCCGTGGAAAGAGTCGCAACTTGGGAGTCAGCCTCGCACCTCGTCGCTGATATTGCAAGTTTGGCCCTAAGCGCATGGAGTAGTCTTCCATGTTTTTCCAAATATAGCCTAAGTTGCAACCATCATGTCTTTTCCTTCCATTCTGGTCTTACGACTTGACCGACAAACTTACATCAGCATTTTTTAGTCACATGTAATTCGTAACTGAACTTTGGAAATAACATAGTTGTCTTAATATCTCGAAATCGCCTTAGAACTCACTACATGTGAGAATTCAGTTATATTGAGTGTCTTCCTGCCTGCAATTTCACAGCGTCGAATTTCATGAAAAATCGTCTTAATATCGGCTCTGCGAGTATTTGCAAGTTATAATAATAAATTGCTTTGGCTTCCGGTGCATCACAGGGTCGAGGGTATTTAGAAACCAGTGTGAGATTAAATTTAGTCTTGCAGTAATCGCTTTCAGGGGTCGGCTACGGCATTGGCGGATCCATGTTGGAACCAGTATACTCTACGGGCATTCATATGATTTAATGTAAAGAATATAGGACCCGCAGCTTCACAATCTATGTGCAAGCAAGACACAATAATGAAGATAACATAAACCGCATTTGCACGGCAAATTCCAATGACAAGAACGCAATTTTTAGTTATTAAATAACGAAGTTATCCCTATAAAATGCTTCGCACTGCTGACCCGAGAACTCGTTGCCATTGTTATGTTTTCATATTGCACATATTGTTAGATGAGCTACTACTTTTTGATCTGTATTCTCAGTTGCCGTGCATTTTTATTCAATACTCTTTTAGTCATTCTGAACGTATCCAACTATGTAATCATCTCTAAATCTGTTGCTCTTTTACCATGTGTTTATTCTCATATTGGTTTGATTTTTGAATTATTTTCAATGCGCCAAATCACATGGCTGTCTACATTTTTCCACGGAACTGACTCTCTTAGTGATTCTGATAGAGGTTGTTCACATTTCCGTTAGGTCTGCTGCCTAAAATTTATTGAATTCCGAGGGCTCACTTTTCCTTTTATGGCATCTTTAGCACAGCCATTATATGCCTTCTTTTTCCGGAAATAATTGTGTAGACTCTAATCTCATTTTACCTTCTTTATTGTCTATCCTAATTTAGTTAATCTTATCGTTTTATACTTTGACATAACCTGTTAGCCCCACTATTTTTTTTCGATTT